AATGCAACCTTGGGGATTTCTTACTTATGTTTAATGTCTGAGCTCATTATGTATACTAGGTCCTTTCCCAGGCTACGCCCGGATTAATTATTTATAAATAGTTTGCTATTATAATTTAGAAATGATATTACAATCATTTTTCTTATTTTTTGCATTTTAAAATGATTTTGTGTTCATAACATATAAATGGATTACAAATACATTATTTTATTTTTGAGAATATATACTTTAAACGATTGCAAAGGTAATTTTACATATTAATTTAGTCAAAATTAAAATAATTTATTGCATAAATTTTGTGTTTTTTTTTTTGTAATTTTATGTCAGTTATTCAATTCGTTAAATTATATATGTTAAACAAATAAAGTGTTTTTAAGGTAATTAATAATTCTCAACAATGTTTATGAAAGAATATAACTAAACATTAACAGAAGTTCGCTGATAGCACTCGATTTGTTGTCTTTATCATTTTAACACATATTTATAAATAAAAAATTATAAATAAAACCTAATAGAAGTTTGTAAATATCACTCAATTTGTTGTCTTTACCATTTTCTAACATATATTTGTAAATCAAGAAGTAGTCATCATCACAAAACGAATGGGTGTTGTCGCATAAGGTATAGACCTGGTAGTTTTCTAAAACTTATTTGTTCAAAAAAAGAAAAAAGAAAAAAGATTGTCACCTTGTGAAGACGAATTTATATCTACCTGAATTAATTGCGATGAATTATTCACAATTTTTGCATGGTTTGATTTTTTTTTGAAAAAAGGGATAGTAAATACTAAATTGATCCTCCTTATGTTCACTTTCTCTATATATCGTAGATCCATACGCAAAAGAAAGCATTGTTAAATATTTTCTCTATTGTAGTTGTTAAATTGTTTCTCTATTGTAGGAGTTTGGAGACATCATGCAAAAAGATACACTTTATTACACCATCAAATGTCAAGAGAAACGGTTTACACTGAAAAAATCTCATGATCTACTAATAAACACTGGCATACATTCTTCAATGATGACGACTACAGTGACAGAGGTTGGAAGGGAAGATGTAGCAGTGGTATGACTTCTTCGAAACTAAAGAATAGCAGCAGAAATAAAAACAGAACATAAAATCAAATGGCATTGTTCCTGTTATAGATTATTATTGTATATACGGTAGCAACAATCTGATAGCCAAAATCACTATTACTTTGGTCTCTCTTAACCAATACGTACTGAATGAATTTTTACAAAATTAGGAAACATATGGACGTGATCAATCTATATTTTCTAAAGTTAAATATATTATGACTTTAAAGTATATTTTGCAAACCAAAAAAAAATAATTTTGTAATATGATTTCTGTAGTCTACATTTCCAAATATTAAAAATTTCATAGCTATATTAATATAAAAAAAAATCTCCAAGTTTTATGAATTTATATAACAGAACTTTCATAATAAATATTAGTCAATTTTCAAAAGATTATTAATCAAGGGGTGATAAGAAGGATTTTGATTCTCCCTTTTCTGAACGGTCTCTGTATTTTTTTTTTTCTGTTTTTCATCACTTTAGATGAACTATAGATTGATGAAAAAGAATAGGGAAGAGATTACTAATTTCTTGGGAGCAGCGATCTTCCAAAACGGAAGAGATGATATCAAAATAGAGGAAGTCAAAAGGAAAAAGTAGATCTTTTGCTTTCTAAATTTTTCCGGAAGAGTACCCATTACAAACTAGAAATAAACGGAATACCAGATTAGAAATTCATACCAAAACTAAACCTAGTTATTAATGTGATAACCAAATCTTACGTGGATGATTCAAGGTCTTTTATTGGCTAAATATTATTGTCTATGTGGACATTGTAAGGAGGTTTTGTTTAGCCATTTTAATAGTGTATGATATGTATGGTGAGCCGTTTGTGTGTATCTGGATGATAAACGTAATTAAAATATTTATAGTGTTGTAATTAATGTTATGAAACATACATAATCAAGGATATGAAACAACATAGAGTGAGGGGTGGTTGAGACTTTTCAGCATTTGTAATGTTTGATATCAACAATCACCACTGTGATATCATCCATACTACCTCTACTCACAGCAAGGTTCACAAGCTCTTTGGAAGCTTCCTTGGCCCAACAAGACTCTGACTTCATCTTTACCCGCTTCAACGCTGTGATCTTCCGTGACTTTGAAGGTGGACTCTCAACTTCATGGTAAGGAGATTCATTCTCTGAGTGGTAGTGACTTAAGTGTTTTGCACATTTGGGTTGCTTGACAAGCGAAACTCGCCGAAGTTTTGAAGATGGACTTACATTAACAAGTCCCTTGAACAAACTCTCATCCTCACTTTCTCTAGGTGTCTTTCTCTGACCTTGAACACTCAAAACAGTGTCAACAGCTTCTTGATTACTAACCACATCCCAAAGTCCATCAGAAGCCAATACAAGAAACTCCATATCTTCTTCCAACTCAAGTATTCTTGTCTCAGGTTCAGCAACCACCCATTTCTTCAAATGCCCATCTCCAATGCTTCTAGAAATAGCTAGTATTCCATGAACTCGCCACGCCCCTCGATGAAACTCAACATAACCTCCCTGATTCTCAATTCTTTCGCGTTCATCGTCTCTTCCTGCTCTGTGATCAGTTGTAAGAGCCTCAGCTACACCACCACGACAAAGAACAGCTCTACAATCACCCAAATTCGAGACAATCATCTCCTGGTTTTGTATCAAAGCTGTAACACAGCAGGCACCACTCACTACACCCTACATTAGTTTTTAAACTTGTTACTAGTTTGCAATCTCATTTACTCATTGGCAAATTCAAGACTTGTTGTTGTTACCTCTTCTAAGAAATCACAATCAGTCCTCAAATAAGCAGCTTTGAAGGCTTCTTCTTTCTCCACTTTATCCTTACAATCCTTCAGCATCTCAAGAACATTCTTGTGAAGATTCTCAGCTACAAAGTCTGCAGCTTTACCACCTCCATGACCATCATAAACTCCAAAGAAGCTCTACAAACAATACCCACCAAAACCCATTAGCCCAAGATCTTTAAAAAAGTAAATAAATAATAATTCTCTTAAATAGCATTTTTAAGTTTTTATCATAAAAATAGCTTTCAAAAATTAAATGACTAAATTAATTTCTTTTTATTTTGAAATTTCTAATATTTTTTTTTTTAAATTCCAAAATCCCACCACTTATTTTGGTTATTTTCTTCTTTTTTTTGAAAAAAAAAATTGTTTTGGCCATTTTCTTCCTATGACTATTTTTATGAAATAAACTAACAATGCTATCCAAAAGAATTTCTCTAAATAAAAATAGAAAAAATCTCCAAAAAAAAAACATACCTTGTCTGAGCTTCCGACAGAACAAGGAACAACTCTGTGACTGTCTTCCATGAACTTTTTCTTCCCCTTTCTGGAGACAACACCGAACCCGTTTCCACCGAAGCATACGGCATCGTTTTGGTGAGTGAATCTGAGGTTATCAGTTTGAATTTCTTGGAGGATATTTGGGATTTCAATCTGAGGAGGTCTCTTTCTCTTCAAAGACGGAAGCTTTGGGACCAAGAAAGGGGTATGTGTCTCCGCCGTGCTTAGTCTAGTTTCCATGGTTGAAGAAAAAGTCGCCGTTATTTGTTCTTCCTTCTCCTGTGGTTAGTTTGTAAACATATAATGTTAGAGACGTAACGGCTAGAAAATGTAGGCGGAAAAAGTCAGTGGTAAAGTCAATGGACTCTTTCTTTAGGGTTTTGGCTCGGTCAAAAACGGAAGAAAAGTTCAGTTTCTAACGTTCAAATGGCAAAAAAAAACAACAACATTACAAGTACAAGTAATACAGCATCTTTGTGGATATTTCTTCATTTTTATAAGTTTATAGTTTTATATTATAATATAAAAAATTTTAGTTATGTGATTTATATATTAGTATTACATGTTGTGTGATTTCATGAATTTATTTATGTGTTTTGTTTGATTTCATTATAATATAATTGTTTTTGGTTTATGCATTGGTTTAGCTAAATTATTTTGTTGTTATTCTCATTTCATTGTGTTGTAGTGACAAGTGACGTTTGCAAATATGTCATTCAACAATACACCATTTTTTGTGCTATACTGCTATTTATGTGTTTTGTTCGAGTTTTTATACATTGGTTTAGCTAAATTATTTTGTTGTTATTCCCATTTCATTGTGTTGTAGTGACAAGTGACGTTTGCAAATATGTCATTCAACATTACACCAACAAATTATATATTAATTAAAATTATAAAATGAACATGTAGATCAGTAAATAACTATGAAGTAGTATAACGTTAAGAATGGCGGTGTTAGATTTCTTTTAAAATGTATAATAATATACTATATAATATGTAAAGAAATCAGTATTTCTTTCTTGAGGATGCTTTCAATGTTGAGTTTTGCCTAATATATAGTTGTCAATATATATATATATATATATATATATATATATATATATATATATATATATATATATATATTTATTATCGATATTTAAATTTGTGGATTAGTTTTTTATAATTTTAAAATATCTATAATTAAATACTTTAATGTAGGCATGAACGTTCGGGTACCCGTTCGGGTACCCGTTCGGGTTCGGATCGGTATTTCGGATATCGGTTCTTTTTTGTAACACCTCTTAGGTACCATTTTAAGAAATTCTTAAATTCGGATCGGGATCGGATATAACACATTGGTTTCGGTTCGGGTTCGGATTATACTGAAGTTACCATATATCATTTGGGTTCGGGTTTTACTGTATCGGTTTCAGATTAACTAAAGTAAAATTCAAAGAAAACAAATAAACAAACACTCATAAGTTGACTAGATAAGAACTAAAGAACATGTCTCTCAAAATTAATAAACTCAAACTTTGTAAAAATGTTTGCAACAACACACTAATACCGATAATAACTACATAAAGTTTTAAAATGGAAAACAAACTGAGACAAAACCGTAAACAGATTACTATGATTCATATGACACAGAAGAATCAAATTAATTTCTGAAAATCAAGTCCTTTTCGGATTGAGTTCTTGAAATCAAAGATGGTGGAGGAGATAGAGAGAATTGCATGTTTGTGTTTCTGAGCATACTCTTCGATCAAACACCTTATTTTAATAGGAGATTAGGTTTTTGAAATTAGAAGAAGAGGAATCGCCCCTAAGGTTATTATGAAATGTGTGGTTGTGTCTAGACTTAGTTGTGTCTAGACTTAGTTGTGTCTTATAATTGAAAATAACAAAGTGTGGTTGTGCCTTCTTGTAAATTGTCAAAATCAAATAATGATTAATACGTGTATATACTTACTGTACATTATACATATAATCTGTTATTTCGGATTTTAGGTCGGATATCGGATTAAACCGAACCCGAACCCGATATCCAAAGTATCAGCATATCAAACCCGATCGGGTATTTTGAAAGATCCATAACCGGTCAGGTTCGGATTTTTCGGTTCGGATTCAGGTTCGGTTTCGGATTATGGATAATATGCCCAGGCTTACTTTAATGTATCGAAAATTCATGGCTGAGAACTCTCCATTGGACATGGTAGTGATAAGCAAAATTCCACTTTTTCTTGGTCTATTCAATTAGTAATTTTATTAATTGAATAAAAACGGTTATTCTGACATTCGCAACAGATAAATCATATTTTCACAACTTCGGATCTAGTGCTCATTTTAGAGTAATAGCGATTATTATCAGTATTCAATATATTATGTTTTCAAAAAAAAAAACATAATATAAAGGATAATGATGGATTATTGTTTTACCTGAGAGATTGTATGCGAACGACAAAGAGGTCGACATTGGAGACTTGGAATCACGGCATATCACAAATTCAGAGGGATCAACCCCAACACACTTGAGAAAGAAGAAATCAAGATTATCACTCAGGTACCATAAAAACAGATCAGGTACCAAAAATAAAACTTATCAAGAAGTTAACATTTCCTAATGCTTTGGTATATATGTATATGCATATATATAATTAAACTTCAAATTTGCAAAATACAGAAACACAAACTTTTTATTTATGTTTCGGAAGCCTTTACAACATTCTACAGAAACCACCAAAAACAACATTTTCATATTGTGAAATCATAATACAAAGGAAGTGGCGAAATGGAGTAATCATCACGAGCCTTAGAAGATTCCATGTAACTCCTCCCTCCATTAACATAATCAAACAAAATATCACGCTGGTGCTGTGGTGATGCTGTTCTGTCTCCTCCTCCGTGCGCCACGTCAGCATCAACAACAAGAGCCATGGTCCGTTTCTGCATACTCATCAACACGTTCTGCCACGTGTTAACCCTCGATTGCGCCTTCCCGTGTACACCAACGTTCATCTCCACCAAATCCTCGCCTCTCACGCCCAACACTTCCTCTGGCCTAGCACCGTCGAGGATCCAGATAAGACAAGAACAGAACCCTTTAGAGATCTCTGAGTCGCTGTCCGCTCTAAACCTCATCCTACCTAACTCATCCATCTTGACATCTAACCATACCTGCGTCGTGCATCCGGGAACTCTGTTCTCCGGAACACGAGCCGAGTCGTCAAGTGGAGCTAGTTCCATCGCGTAGTTCAAGAGACGTTTTACTCGGTCGATAGGTTCGGTCAAGGACCTGAACTCTGATACGAGGAGACAAAGCTTGTCTTCTGCCGAGGTTGTTGTTGTTCTTGTTGTTGTCTCCAAAGGGGCTTCAACGGAAGCGGTAGCGAAAGAAACATGGTTTGGTTTCGATTTGGAAAGATTGACGTTAGAATCTTGCATGCATCTTATCCTTTTAGGAGAAAATTTAGGGGTGGAGAAAGCATTTAAAGATGTTCTTGAAGAAGAAATGAGAGGAGGAGAGGCAAAGAAAGCTGAAGTGTTCATGTTCCGTGAGAAAATGGGAAGGGAAGAGGTAGAAGAAGACGAAGGGGAGAGAGATACTTAAGGATGATCAGAGGAAAGCTCCTTGAACTACGCGACGGAGAGAGGATAAAGATTAGAAAGTATGGAGTTTTTTAGAACGCGCCAAAACTAGTGTTGTGTTTATTTATTTTATTTGTTTCTGAATGTGTTATAAATGGAGTAATAGTGAACCAATTTAATACTTAACACTATTCTAAGCTTCGACTACTTTAAATGCCAAAATAATAATAATGCAAAATAATAACTTTTCTATTCTATTCTTTTTGCTAATAATATTAGCATATTCTTTTAGACACTTATTTTAAAAACTCATCGCAGAGAGCATGCGATTACAATAGTATAGAGCTGCGCATAATGTGCCAAAGGTGTGTGGGTCTCTTTCTTTTTAGTTTTTAGTAACAAGGTTTAACTATTTCTGTCGACATAAAAAATGATTCACTATTTAAAGAACTTAATCTAATATCGTTTTAAAAATATTAGTGTTTTATATCAAATATTTTTTATATACTAACCATCTGTCACCTAAATTTTGACCATCTGATTGTTATCTATCGACCATTTGTCTCAAAATCTTGTATTGTGAAATGTTAGAGCATACTGTTGATAAAAAGAAAATGTTAGAGCATACACTTTATAGTTGATATAACCACTTCAAGTTTAGAATGTAACATGGAAAGCTTTCACCGTTAATTTATGGTCCCAAATAGCTGGAGTTCTCCAGATAAGTCATTCCAAATTCAGTTGCGACTACCAAATGGTGCATCTTGGTATCAAAAACCATTCATCGGATAAATATTTTGTAAGCTTAAAATTTGCATAGCGTTATTATAAGATGTTGATTGGAAGAAAAAGGTATGATGATTACTCAAATTTACTCCAATGTTTACCGATCACTCCCTAAAACTTAAACTAAAATATCCCACTTCTAATTTACTCCAATTCTAAGTGTACATAAACTAAAAGATAGGTGTTGATATAGTGGACTGATTTAAAAGTGGCAGATTTAGTTTGGTCAATGATTCAAACACGACCTAGTCAACAGAGCATTTTCAAAGAGAGTGGCTTCAAACTTGGTTAACGAAATATATTGCACCTTTATTGATCGTTTGATCGAATAGAGAAGATACGATGAACCAAGTTTGAAGCCACCTCTAGAGTGAGAGTGACCAATCTAATTGGCACGGGCATCGCTTTCTTTTTCTCTTGCGACCTACCTCCTCCATTTCCACGATGACAAACACTTTTTTTTTTTAGATTCTCTTAGAATTAAATATGATTTTCGAGGAAACAAATCAAAAGCATATTCGATTCGAATACTGATTCTTTAGAGCCCATGATGTCGGAAAGGGACTAGGGGAAATTCATTTTTAACTAATCTAAAGTAGTTTTGTTTCGTCATAGCTGACGGTTATACTCTTTACTCAAGTGTCCCGGCCAAAAACAGTTCTATTATTTGTTCTTTTTCTGTATTTCCATTATCTTTCTTTTGACAATTCGTACCATTTAAAGAGAGAAAAAATACTGTTGTTACAAAAAAAAAAACTAGACCTAAGATAAAATATTATAGTTTCTAAATTAAGTTAATTTAGTAGCTGGTTAGTTTTTCAGTTACATTCAACAAATTTAAGCAAACTTTATAGTTTTTCAATCACTTTCAACAATTTGGGGTTATGCATGTTTACGTTCAGGTCTATTATATTCTTTCGGATTTTGGTCCATCAAAAATAATCATAAGATAAAATGTTAAAGAAGGAGAAGACCAGCTGATGAATTGATTCTAATAATAAACCTAATCTTCAAGATTATGGTCTTTTCTTCTAACTGAAATTATTATGATCGAATTAACCAAGCTAGGATCCATAATATACTTAGATCATAGGAATTGTAGAAGGCATGATCGGCAACCTTCTACGATACATACACAAACCAGAAACAACTTCTTATAACACTGGCATACGGCTCTCTGACAACACTCTGAAACTTAAGGTGATATGCTTGTTTAGGCAGTTTCAACAGCAAGGTTCGTAAATCCCTTGGTGCATAAAATAGCACATGCTTAAACACACTGTTCAATTACTATCCACAAATCACAATGCTTGTTTCAGATTATTCTCTTTTCAGTTGATATTCCAACCAAAATATAATAGGAATAGTTTTAATGAACTTACGAAGATTGCTTTAGGGATCGCACATTGAGGAACACGATGTACCCCCCCCCCCCCCAACTTGCAGTATTCACTGACAGCATCAGCTTGAGCCACCAATAAAATCACATGAGACTCTTGCATAAAAGAAAGTCTCAATCTAAACACGAATAAATCACTAAAATTTTCAGTTTACCAGAGTTTTTGAGATGATTTCTGATAGGCATGCCGCATGCTGTTTGAACACAAATTTTGTAAACTTTTTAAGATGCGTAAAATGTTAATTTAATATAAGGAGAAATGTGGAGAAATAATTATTTTTTTACTTTAAATAAAAAATATTTATGTAAGTTAAAGAAACAGTAAAAAAATCTCACCATATTACAATGAAAATCATTTTGTATATGTGATATTTCTTCATCAGGTTCAAAATCTTGTGCTCACAAAACATTTTTTGGGGGAGTAAATTCTTACTATTTTTTTGCATGATATCATAGGTAAATCGTAATATATTACATCTATAGTATCTTGACAATTCTAAATATATAGATTGTGTCAATACAATTTTAAGAGTATTTCCAAATAATATTAGAATAGTTTTGTTCCCTTTTAGTTAAGTGACAAGAAATTTTTTTTTTTGCTCTTTTGAGAGTACTCCCAAATATTATTTTCCTCTTTCCCATATATGTCTCTCTATTTAACGCACACTTTTATGCAACTAAAACTTCCAATAAAATTTAGTCTTGCTAGAGTAAGTCTCGAGAGTATATTATGTAAAACCGCAAAAATCCTGATTGAAAATCACGAAACAGAAATCGATATAACGATAAGATGAGACTGAAAAAATGTTTAAGAATTCATTAAGGAAATAAACGAATTCGTGGAGTCGAGATAAATCTTGAAATTTTAGAAATATTCCTGGAATTATTCATGTTTATCGAGTAAGAGAAGATCATAAATATTCCAATAATTATCTAAAAGTTATTCAAAAATTATCTTGACACAATCTAAAACGTTTCGATTTATCAAGATTAATTAGACACAAGGATTTATCTAGGAAATTATGTTAAAAATATTGATATTAATTTGTTCCAAAAAAAATCTTATTGTGGTATAAAGTCCACATTCACCAAGATCCAAGCCCCGGCGCACGCGTGTGTGTGGTTTGCATAATGGTCCGTCTCACTCCTTCTTTATACTATCTCCACAAGCTATTGAACCTTGATAAGGGATTGTCATATTTATATCACAAGATTTTTCTTGTCATAAGCAATGTAAGATTTTTTATTCTTTCATTTCATTTAAGTGAAATGTTTTTAATTTTAGAACTCAAAAAATATTTGATCCATATTTCTTTTCACATTGTAATCATAAATTTACATAGTCCAATAAAATTATAAATTTGGATACCAACATAGAAAATATTTTTTTTTCTCCAATGGGTATTTATTTTTTAATTGGTAGATGAAGCGGCTTTTGAGAAAGATCTGATGAAATGCTTTGCCAAATCACCCGTAGCAGCAACCATAAAAGTTTACCCATCTTACGAACATCATTCAAGGGATGAAATCTACAGGCCATCATGTTCTGAGCGTAATTCTCGAGCCATCCGATTCCGACATGCCATGTTGTTAGTTAAATCTAACACTGGCCAATTTGGAGTTTGCTATTGGGAATTCCAAGATTCATACCGCTAAGAGAATGGGTACATTGGCTACGTTCGAACAAAAAATGAAGTTGGTATGATAACAGATTTTGTAGAAATGGTGTTATTGGAAGAAGAGCCAGGAAAGAAATGTGCTTATAACTTAACAAAAGTTATATGTACCTGATGTGTTAAGATGTACAAATCTTGTACATTAAAGTTATAGAAATGGTGTTATTTGTACATCTTAACAAAATATAAAGTTATAGGCACTTTTCACGATTGTGTAGTCTTAACTCAATCAATCACTTTTCTTCAACAAATAAATAAATATGTACATCTTAACAATCTAAGTGCCCTGTCGGAAAAATGCCACAATAGATTAAAAAATCAACCTATTAAGAGCTTCCAAATCGCCACATCATTTTTTTTTTGTTATTCGAGACATGCTTTTCACGGGCCAATTCACGTGAGCTTATAGTATTGAAAAGCCATGAGCCATTTTTAACTATAGACTAAACCTCTTATTGTGTCGTCTCCGTCCCCGTCTCTTTAACTTCATGATCATTTAAAAAAAAAAAATTATTTGAGAAAATCAACTCCACGGTCATTGTTTCCAACTCATGCAGTCTAACGTTTCTGTTACTCACACTCATTCAATTTTCTTCTTTAAATCTATCTTAATAAGATATGTTCATCAAATCTTTCCACCTCCGTTTCTTTCTCATTTTATATAAATCCTACATCAAAGCTTATCTGATCAAATCTTTCCACCTCCGGTATGTTTGTTTCATTCCCAATTTTGTTCATAGGATTATAGAGAAATATCCTAAACAGCTTCCTGGTTTCTTTTCGACAGGGCACTGTAGTGCAAGGTTTCATCTCATCGTGTTTCATGATACCTGCCTCATCATCACTTACAGTCTCAGGAAATTTTGTTGATATCAAAAGCAAAGAGATCTATCGAGTTGTTGATCTTGGTTTGACCATTTTCTTCATGCAGAGCTCCAACTGCGGACTCAGGGGTGATCTCTATGGTAAGCTCTAAGACCTGGCTGAAGGCTTAGATGCAATGCACAATGCTCCTCTTTCTCTTCTGTTATATAGCTTAAGGGATATGTTCTCAAGGAGCCCATTGGTGTAGTTGGACTGAGTACTCCATGGTATAATTTGTTGATCATGTTCATAAAATACTCTTATGGTGTGACAAAACCTTCAAATCATTGTATATGTATTATTGTTTGTCAAGTTAGCTGATTTACATCATTTAGCTCACATTTGAAGATAAACTTCTCTTTTTAAAATGACGCTGATCTTCAATTTTTCTTTCTCCCTTTTTAGACAGTGTGTTAGAAAAGACAAAACATATTAGGCAGCTAATAGTTTATATTTGCATTGATGGAATTATTCATTATTGATGGCTGTCTGGAAATTTGCTCCTGCACTTGCTGCTGGGGGCACGGCGATACTGAAACCTTAAGAGTTGGCCTCTGTGCGTATTTGATTTCTGTGGACACATAGCTAGCATTGTATTAGTTCATGAACTCGCCATTCTAATGTGGTTTTACTTCAGGACATGTTTGGAGCTCGCTGATATCTGCCGTGAGGTGGGTTTGCCACCTGGTGTTCTTAATATTCTCACTGGTTTGGGAACTGAAGCAGGTGCTCCATTGGCATCACATCCACACGTTGACAAGATCTGATCATAGACCCTTATACTTTAATTTTCCTGGTTAGTTGAAGTATTGATATTTTAGCGTTTACCATATTGTTTCCACTTGAAGCACGGCAAATTGAACCAACATTAGGACTTCTGTTGCCAAGTTGGTAATAGTAAGTCCAACCTTTGGAATAAGTATCTATATGGGTTTTGTTTTTATGACTTATTGTTTTTCGGGGTTTGATGATGTTGAAAATGACAAAGGTTAATGTTTGGGAACCTTGAGGGAACAATTAATAGTATATGTAAACTACTGGTTTAATTAGTGACCAAGTTTTTGTTCTAATCAGCTGTGGAGTGGAATATGTTTGGTTGTTTCTTGGCAAACGGTCAGATTTGCAGTGCGGCATCTTGTGCATGTAAGTGAGCATAAAATCTGCAGTAGTTTCAGATCACAAATATACTCCTAACTGTACATGATATGTGATATCCTTTGCTGAGAATTAAGTGTAAGAAACTACCACTGTTTATAAGAACTAAGTAATGATGAGGATAATATTTAATGAGTTTATTTGCTGAGAATTAAGTGGAAGAAACTATCACTGCTTATTCTCTAAGACTTTTTACTCTTTCATTTGATTTAAGTGAAATATTTTTAATTTTAGAGTTTAAAACACATTTGATCCATATTTCTTTTCACATTGTAATCATAAATTCACACAGCCCAATAAACTTATAAATTTGGGTTCAACATATCGCACTAGTAAACATTAGTAGATCGTTTTGGGTGTTGTGAAACAGACTAATCGAAATTGTATTTCAGGATTCAAAAGTAGCATTCAACGATCACACAATATGAGAAATTTATTGAGTTTAAAAAAAATCAAAATTTGATTCTTTAAATTGATATATTTCTTACAATTTCATTAATTGTTTTATCACTCTATATTATGTTTTCATTTTGTTTTATATCATGATCAATTGTCAATCACAATTTTCACTATCTTATTTTCTGAACTCAATCAATCACTTTTCTTCAACAAATAAATAAATATGTACATCTTAACAATCTTAATAAGAACAGAAAAGACAGTAACATCAGTTTAACTGTTCTTAATACGTTGTCGCTTTATCTTTTTGAATTTAGAAGCCGATTTTTGGAAATATTGAAGCCGAAGGAAGAGTTCATTATATTCTTCAACGGTTCCAGTCTCATCTGTCAGCACTTTTCCACACCAATCACACGTCCTGCAAATTGTTTTAGATCCAAATTAAAAAATTTAATAAAAACAGAAAAAGGAAAATAGAAAAGAAATCAATTGTTGAACACATAATTGACGGTACCGGAGTTTCCTTCACGGCGGACGGGAGTTTTAACGCAGCAGTGACCGCAAAACATCCTTTCGTCTTCTTCAGAGGTCGTTGATTTTGACATCGTGATTCCACGCAAAACAGTAACTAAGACTTATTTAGGGTGTAAGTCGTTTAGGTTTTTGTAAGTCGTTTTGATTAAAACAAAAGGGATCGATCGTTAAAGCGTATTTAAATAGAGTCACGCTCTTGGTCTTTCGCTTGGGGAGCAAGGATCCTTATTTTATATTATTTTTTTTTAGATTCTGCTCAATACAACTTCAAAAAGGAGAATACAGACTTTGAAAAGGAAACTCATATAGCTTTGGGTCCAAGTTAGCATAAAATGATAAAAGTAATATATCAAACAATTGCAATACCTAATTGAGATATATAGGGAAGAAAAAAAATATCTGAACACGAATATTTATATCATCAAACACTTACACTCAAATACAAGATTATGGGAGTGTTTGATTAGAGAAGAGAGTAAAAATTGTCATAGTTTTTTTTGCCGAAATTGACATTAATTCTTGGACCAGAATTTACACCCCAACATAGATATTGTGTTTATTCTTTTATATTTTCTGAATTTTTACATCATAATAATATCCAATTCGAAATTATAGATGTACATACAAATCAAAAAAGATTATTGGATATCTGGATTTTTGAAGATATTTTTGATTTGCTTTGTAATAGCGGATATCTAATTTTTCGATTTGTTTTGCTTCGAAAAAATACGGAACGGATATCCAAATTAAATAGATATTTGTGGATATTTACGAATACTTGCGCATATTTCATATGTTTTCATTAATAAAATAATCTTAAAAGTCGTTACAAATTTATTTTGTAAAAGATTTTTGCATAATATATAAAATTAAAAATTAGTGAATCTACATGTTTTTTAATTTTTTAAAACTTAGTTAACAATTATAATTGTCATAAGTTTTTTCTCTTCTTTTTATGTAATAATTTTATACAAATAAGAATGTGAATAGAATTTGTCAAAACATATGTTAGAATAATAATTATAAAATTTTATACATTTAAAATTTTAAATATAATCAAGATATATATGTATTCATATATTGTCGAATCTGAGCGGATATCTGCTTCCTAAAATTTTAATATTTGTGATTTGCTTTAATTTAATAGATATTAATTTTTAATATTTACTATTTACTTTGGTTCGAAAGTTTGGATATCAGATCAAATCGTAACAAATAACGAATCGAATAAAATTTAACGGATAAAATGTTCAATCCTAATTACAGTTTATACGAATACTATATTTTTCTTATTGATGACATGACTTGGCCAATGTATGTATTGACCAAAGTTTTGAAATTCAAGTATGTTTATGCACGGTCAATAATTTTTGTATGAGTCGTTGCACTTGATTCTGGCTATTGGATAATTAATCCAGAAACAAAAACACCAATGCAATATAGTATAAACGATGGCGAGTATCAGAATCCATGCGTCCTTCTTTGATGTTTTGATTGAACCATTCAAATGCAAGCATTAGTTACAATTTTCCTGACAAAGATCTATCGACGACATATCATCCTTAGATAAATGGATACCAATCTCTTTCTCCTTGTATTATTATTAAACACCAAAGATAAAGCTTCTTGAGAGAGAGAGGGAGGGTGATTTCTAGTAAGAGCTCCTCTGCTTCTTAAAAGTAGCGACCTTGTCGCGAATCTCGCTGGCAAACTCAATCATATGAGCTACAAACACAATAAACACAAGAATTCATGAGAAGATTTTACCTTAGAAACAATTAGAAACAAAATTTTCAATGTACCTGGGACAGAGTAGCCCAAACAAAATGGACCGTAAGCAGGGGCACAGCGATGGTTAGTTATGATCGTAGCTAGGGGCGTAACATCTATTTTGAATCCTCCCACTTCACTTCCACAAAGATCCACCGCCCTAGCTTCTCCTTCTTGTTGGCCAAAATAGATATTAGTCTGCTTACCGATAGTAGAGACATATACATGGGTGATCACTCCACAACAAGAGAAGTGTTTTGTCAAAGCGCTCTCAATTTCATCTGTAGGGAGGGAAGTGTCATATCCCCTAACGGTAACGCCAAACCAACTGCAGTAAATTTTGCATATGTTACCAACAACAATACAAAAATAATTTACAGAATATATTAGACCAAAAAAGGCAATCAACTTACAATCTGGGGTCATTCAATATTTCGTCAGTCAGAGAGGATGCATAACGCTCTACCTCCTCGTCTTCTTCCTCCTCATCATCCGGTTCAACTTTAACAAGAGCATTCCATCCACCAATGTCAGTTCCATGAAGTTGCAAGGCTTTCTCTTCTGCGCCATCTCCGAAGAGAACAACATAAGCACGTCTGTCAAAACAAAACAAAAACACTGTTTTTAGCTTTTTAAGCTGCAAGAATTAATTCACGACACAAATATATATCAAAAAGGCACAACAAACCTGTCGAGATTAGGGCTATCAGCAGGGTCTTTGCGAATAATAACATTAAAGACTTCGCCACATGATTTGAAGTGATTAATCAATTCACTCTTGATGTCATCCTCGGGCAGACAAGTGTCGTATCCCTCCACAGAAATCACAACTCTAAATTCGCAGGAACATACCAACCATTAACAATTAGCACAACGAAAGTTTTGTCCAAACAAACAAATAAACAAAAGAATTAATTACCGGGGCTTGGATCTGTACGTCTCGGCCTCTCTAGCAGCCTCACTCTCGAACCCTCCCGTCTTGTATTCCGATCTCATGCTAGCATCCATGGTGAAAAGACGATAACCCTAAGCTGTTGGTTTACGATATTTTTCAGTTTTAGGGATTTAAAAGAGACGAGGCATATATTTATAGACGTTTTATTCTTCTGGTTTGAGCTATATACAGTAGAACATGTATAATTAATAATGTTAGGATTTTATTATTTTTTAGAGATTTTGATTTATAAAAGTTTCCTTATTCAGATTTCTTATTTTTAGATATATTTATTCTAAGAGAAGAAAAATATTTGATTTTAGTATATAAACATCAATTATTTTTATTTTGAAATTTGGCATTTATATTAATTTTATATATTATTTTGTGTATATAATAAATATTGCATAGAATTTAAATGTAATTTTAGATATAATATTACTAAATCTCATCAAAATATATTAAGTGTTAAGATATTATAAAGATAATTTCATTATGAATATAAAACAAACAATATAATGAAATGTTCTTATTTATATAAAATATGTATACATATAAATTATTAATTTATAATTTTAATGGGATCATATATTTATATATATTCTAAAAAATATTATATTATTATTTTATCAATTTGTGTCAAAATTTCATTTTAATTTAAATAATTATTAATTTATCGAATATTAATTTATAGAGGTTCTAATGTAGATATATCTTTCTTTTTCCCCTTTTTATGTAAGAAAAAAAGAGAGAAAAATTGCGCATATTGACCCCAAATAAAATTATAATTCAATTTCTGACGTATTGACCTAACTCTACCACATATAACTCGTATCCCCTAGACATTATTTATCATGTAATTTTGACACATTATTTCCACAATCATTTTTATCAAATAAATGTAATATACTGACATGCTAAAAAAATATATTAAAATAACATAAACTATAATCTTGTAGTAATAAAATACTTCTTTAAATCTATATTTTCTTAGATGAAAATATATATATTTGTATCTAATATGATTTCATAAAACAAAATTCTAACAGATAATCTTGATATTAATATCCGGACAATGGTCAAAAGAAGAAAAATCATTTTGTATATATATATATATGATATTACTTTATCAAGGTTCAAAAGCTTATGCTCACAAAAGAAAATTGGAGCAAATTCCTACTATTTTTGCATAAATATCATACATAAATTGTAACTAACATGTTGCATCTGTAATATTTTGATAAATTATAATTTTTAGATTGTGTCAATATAATCTGCGAAGTATTTCAGATAATATTTAAATATTTTTGTTACTTACATGATAAGAAAAAATATTCCTGAATATTTTTTCCCCGTATTTATGCATGTCTAATTATAAACATACACTTTAACGCAAATAATACATCCCGTTTTTTTTAAATGATCCTAAATTTGTTTCGGATGTTGTAAAATAGACTTATCCGTAATTATATCTTAAGATTCAAAAATTGCATATAAAATCAGCACGCATTACAGAAAATTTATTGTCCTATAATCTTAATTCAATTAATCCACTTTAAAAATAAATAAATAAATAAATATGCACATCTGGACAATCTAAATAAGAACAGAAAAGACAATAAATAACATCAGTTTAACGTTTTTTTATACGTTGTCGCTTTATCTTTTTGAATTTAGAAGCCAATTTTTGGAAATATTGAAGTCTAAGGAAGAGTTCATTATATTCTTCAACGGTTCCAGTCTCATCGGCCAGCACTTTTCCACACCAATCACACGTCCTGCCAAATTGTTTTAAATCCAACTTCAAAACAAATATTAAAAAATAGAAAAAGGAAAATAGAAAAGAAATAACTTGTTGAAGACATACTTGACGGTACCGGAGTTTCCTTCACGGCGGATGGGAGTTTTAACGCAGCAGTGACCGCAAAACATCCTTTCGTCTTCTTCAGAGGTCGTTGATTTTGTCATCGTGATTCCACGCAAAACAGTAACTAAGACTTAATTAGGGTGTACAGAGACAGAGAGAGACCAAATCTATCTGATTCTTTTTAGGTTTTCGAAAGTAGTTTTGATCAAAAGAAAAGGAATCATAAAGACGTTTTGGTTATTAACTTTGTTCTGTCCTTCAGTTTCGTTTCCGTTTAAGCGGATTTAAATAGGGTTATGCTTTTGGTCTTTCGCTTGGAGAGCAAGGATCTTCTCTTTTTCGACGGACCGGAATTTGACTTTTATACATTTCCTTTTAAAAAACAAAAAAAATTGTGGTGAATACTTCAAAAAGGAGAATACAGACTTTGAAAAGGAAACTTTGGGTCCAAGTAATCATAAAAGTAATACATCAAATAATTGCAACACCTAATCTGAACACGAATATTTAATCATCTAACACTTACACTCAAATACAAGATTATGAGATTGTCTGATTATAGAAGAGAGAAAAAATCGTCATAATTTTTTTTTGCCTAAAGTGGTGGGTTATAACTGTAGTAGGAGAAATTATAGTTGACATTGGAGATGATTGGTTAGATTTTATTTACTTACTTTAATTTTATTTATTTTTAAGTCACTAAATTTTATCAACTATGTTATAGTTTACTTTTAAAAGTTAAAACCTACATCAAGTTTCTATAAATTTTTACAAGTTATGCTTTAGCTTTATTTTTAAAGCAACAAAAAAAAAAGCAAATTTTGTTTCTTATGTATTTTAAGTAAAAAATCTAAAACTTTCTTTTATATATTGTAGAATCTGTAAGATAAAAAAAAATTGTCTATGATATTAAATAAATTAGATAATCATAATTAAAACATCTATAAATATTTAACTTAATTTTGGGTATTTTAAAATTATTGGAAAACATAGATATTCACATATCACATTTAAAATAACAATAAACTTTTATAAATTACTATAAAATAATATTAATAGAAACTATTTAAATATTTTTTTTATATATATCACATATTTAAAATTTCTACAGCCTATAACTTACAGAAACAATAAATTTAACAACATCAAAAAGTTTTTATAAAAAAAAAAAAAATCTACAATACCACCATTACAACTACAACTATTTTACCTACATCTAAACTTTACAACTAATTTTTAGAGTTATAGTCAAACGAATCATCATCATTAATTCTTGGACCATAATTTACACCCCCAACATATAAGTATACTATTGTATTTTTTTTTGTATTTTCTGAATTTTTGACATCATAATAATATCAAATTCAAAAGTAGAGATGTAAATACAATTAGACAAACCAAAATGGTTATTGGATAATCATACAATTTTTCAGTCATTGATGACATGACGTGGCAGTTGACTCATTAGTTGGGTCTTGGGTGTTTCATCAATATGTTGTGTGATCCATCATCCAACTCAGCATTATTAATGAGTTGACTTGGTCATTGTATTACTTGACCAAGATTTTGAAACAAACAATAAATGTGTGTTGCACGGTCAATAGATTTGTGTTGTACTATTAATCGTTGCACTTGATTCTGGCTATTGGAGAATTTTATCCAGAAACAAAAACACCAAAATAGAGAAACGAGGAAGATGATAATACTTTCTCTTATATTAAAATGGACAATTACAGACTCAATATATAGAAGTCTTAGAATGATCAAGATCGATCTTATTGGCTGACCAGCTGGAAAATAATTCACAGAGCACATAAAGATAACAAAGGATTAAACCGATTGAAGATAAGGTTCGTCTTTGCCGTACTGCGCTCTGCTGCTCTGCATACCACTGAGGAGACGACCGTTGTGTAGTGGGTTCTGGTTGGGCTTTGGTCGTATTGGACTGGGCCTTAGTGTTTATTGGACTTACATAAAATAATGGAAGCAAGCATCTTCCAAAGATTCCACTTTCATAAGTGGGACAGATCGGATATCCGGGGTATTTTAAGATATCCGGATTTGAATTTGGCGGATCCGTAAAATTACTATCCAGATCCGGATATCCAGACTAAAACTCGGATACCCACGGATATCCGGATCCGATTTATTTAAAAAAAAAAACTTAAAATTTAAAATTTAGTATTTATTTATTCTATTAAAAATATTATTTTGCAAAAAAAGTTAAATTAAAATAATAGAATTTACTAACAAAATTAAGTACTAGTTATATTTAATAAAAAATATATAATAAACCTATATAAATATATTTATATTTTAAATATTTTAAAATATTTAGTGGGTCTGGATCCGGATCCAGATATCAGGACTGAAAATTTCACTATCCGGATTCGGATCCAGATTCGCCGGATCCGTGAAATCACTATCCGGATTCGGATCCAGACCTCCGGATATCTGTTTTTTCGGAACGGATCAGAGCGGATCCCAAATCGGATAGCGGATAACGGATATAACTCCCAGCCGTAACAAACATTGTCTTGACAAACTTTTATTTTCTTTTTCTTATGGATCTGATAAAATAAAAAACAAATACAAAAAAAAACGAGAGAAAACTATTAATCTATCCGATTAAGGCCACGTGTCAGTTCCACAAATAGATCTATGGTAGTAACACAGTAGTTAGGTGTATCCTTCCGCACCTGATCTTTCACCATCCAGGGCTTCTTCTTCTTCCTCCTTCCCCGATCCACGACTCAATCGTCTCGAAAAAAGCAGGCGGAAACGAGCTTACGGCGATGGTGAAGGTGTTGACATACTTCGGGATGACATTGGCTGCTTTCGCCTTCTGGCAATCCATGGACAAAGTCCACGTCTGGATCGCTCTTCACCAAGACGAGAAGGTTTCTTTCATCACTCTCATCTCATCTCTCTCTCGATTTAGGTCAAACCCTAGGCTATCTAATTTTACGTAATTACCCTCAGATTGATTGATTATATGTTCTGATTATGATAATTAGAAGCTAAGTCTAATTTTGTATTTTGATTAATTTGTCTTTGATGAAAATCACATATAGAGATTGTGAATCTGTGATTGGTGTTTAGCATCTTGTTAGGAGCTAAGCTCTCACTGATTTGCACTTGATAAGTGATCTGATACCGTGCGTATACGATCTGATTAAGAGATAAGCTCTCATTGTTGATTAGTAGTGATAAGATAATGTGTTTATATGCAGCAAGAAAGGATGGAGAAGGAAGCTGAGGTAAAGAGGGTTAGAGCTGAGCTGCTGCGGAAAGCTAGAGAGGAGGATCCTCTTGCTTGATCATCTTATTAATAATTTGGATTTCTAACCAAATATGCAAGTTCTTTTTTATTTCATTGTTATGTGACACAAAATGGAGTTTGCATAAAACGACAATAACCATATATGCTATTGAATGTGGGAATGATGATGATGAATAAGTAGCTTCCTCTTTTTTTTTTTTTTTGTAACACAAGTAGCTTCCTCTTTGTTGTTGTTTCTTCTCAACTAAATGGAATACTAGTGCAAGAGGTGTCAGAGTCTTGCTTTGACTTACCTCAACCTTGTGAATCATGGATTCTGTGTTCATGCACAAGTTTTAAGGAGGTTTCAAATGTCAGTTCCGGTTAATGATGATTCACGTTCACTATCAAAGTAGAAATATAACCTGTCAAGTTTCAAATGGTATTAAGAAGTTATCCAAATTCTTTTGCAGATTTTTAAAAAATTTGTAATCCTTTTTCTTGATCGTTTTTCCATCTGGTTTACCATTGCATGTGGTTAATGGCATTAGCCAGGAGATAAATAGCGATTATGATATTATAGCAACACTAAGCAAACTGGCTCAAACAACGGATAGTCACTGAAGAAAACAGTGAAAAACCACACCTAATTTTAGTATGCAACAGTGAAAAAAAGACAAGACCCAGGAAACTAGTCGGTTGGGTCTTGGCACACCAGATACCCCGGGTTATAAAAAAAATACTTTAGTATGCAATGCAACATAAACACGTAATGCTCACTATACATATGCTAAAGAACATCTATTGTTGGTTAGAAATGAAGATATCGGTTTATCTAAAAGAATAATTATGATTAGAGGAAAATATTTGGCCACTGGTAAAATAGAGGAAAAAATTTACTCCTGTTTTGGTTTCACAAAGGTACATATCTTTTCAGTAAATTAGTCTGTATGGTGCTCCAGGGTCTGAATATTCTTACAAGGCCTGGGATGTCTCATTCATAAGCATATATGAAGGGAAACGTTAAAAAACGAGAATGATTAGCTAGAGATTATGTAAAATGCATTAAATTTACAAAATACAATTTTCATAAAAGATTGCAAAAAAAGGCAAGTGACAAGATATATGAAAAGAGAGATAAAAAGTGTGAAATGACTTTACGTTATCTTTGGATGCATGTATTAATATGCATACATTTATGCAGAGTCCCATTATAGCAAAAGATGTATTGATAACCAGCTCTTCCCTTTAAACGACTTAAAACTAACACTATTCAATGGGATGAATATTTATGAGTAAGAAAACAGAACTTTTGAGTTTTGAAGGATGAAGTTGCGCAGGTCCTACATCAATGGAGTTGAGAAATCATTGGTTTGTAACGATTTGTTATTAGTAATTAACCTTGGTGGGTCGTTTCTAAAATTTACAGGCTTGAAAGTCAAATAACGTTCTGTGTCTTTTGTCTCCTGCCGACAATGTTCATTTAGCTTTCTCTGTTTGTTTGGTTAAAACCAATTTTGAACATTTGGATCTTAGCACTCTTAAACATGAACGAGTTGCGATGGATGAGCGTGAAGTGAAACATGACTCTTTCTGTTTTTTTCTTCTTTTACATAGGAACAAGTTACAATGAACATGAAGGTTGTGTCCCATTCTAAATTCCAAAAAAGCAAAACTATCACATGGTATCACAGTTAGTGTATTTATTCCAAAATAGTCTACACTCTCAAATTAACAAAAGCAGAAATAACTATCCACCGACAAAGTTTAATCCCTCAAGGAAAAGTATATGATTCTCACTCAAAACTAATCCGTGACTAGGTGACTTTGAACTTTATTATTACATTTTTAAAAATTAAACAGTTCTGAATCCAGTATATATCTCTATGACAAAGTTGATATTATGTAGTTTAACTCTTTTTAGAAAATAGATTTTTCGAACGCAATTTTAAACATACTTCTAAGGTTTATACTAACTAATCTAGATTATGTAACTTAACTTTTATTTGGAGAAAGAAAAACATTACTCAACGCGACTATAACTTATGACTTCCATATCATCTAGTTTCACTCTTTTTATTACATTCGTCACATGATTAGTTAGATAGCTGCAACATTTATTGTAGTACATCCTATGTCACGTTGAAAAACTGCAGCTCTTCATTTGATTTTTTGGTCCCTTCTCCTTTGATTGCAATAATTGTCCAACGCCAAATTAAATTTCTCCATGTCTCGGGAAGACAATAGCAAGGGCAAGATCCAGATCTGGTCCAATTGGTGGAAATTCTGTTTTTGTTTTTAGTTTTGTCAGATTCACGAAACCACACTGACCTCTCTCACTTATTACAGATCTTGCAGACAAATTTAATGTCATCCCAAAAATTGGATACGCCCATGTTACACTCCAACCCGAGATAACTATAAGAATGCATTCTATACTACTCCATGATATACTTTACATTTCAATAACAATATACATTGATCATTGTATAGACCGTTAGTTTATATGTAGTTTATATTAGTGTCTTTGTTGCCTCGACCATCAAAATTTCAAACATGTATAATGCGACAAAAAGACGGTGCTAATTACACGTAATTATGTTAACACACGGACGTTGATAATTAAGCTGTTGATTTCATTTTTATTATATAGAATCAACAATCTTGCAGCACTTGTACACATCCCCACCACAACAGACACTGGTCCCTACTCCAAAAAAGTTTAAAAGAAACCCAATTGGTCGAAAGGGAATCCATACAATACTTTAGTATACACATCAAATCCAACTTAGAGCATCCACAACGCAGGGTTCATATGAATCCTTAACTGTACATCTGAATAAAAAACTAATAAAAGAGTGTGATACAGGGAAGGAGCAGTCCGTGGAGAAGGATTTAACGGATCGAATCCGTAGAAACGTGGCAGCTTCGTATTGGACTGGTTGAAAGGTAACGTGGCCGAGGAAGAAAAAAATCATTCGCGAAGAAGAGAAAAAAAAAAGGGAAAGGCGAAGGTTGATGCGATTCGATCTCCGATGTCTTTCTACAACGCGGAATTTAATTCGAGACGAAGAACTCGGATCACTATCAGACGACGAAGAAGACTCTCCATCGGGAAAACGATCTAAACTCGATCGATTCCCTCTCAGCCGATGGGAACTAGCAGTATCTCTTGGCGTCTTCCTCGTCTTCTCCTCAGGTCTCTTCTGCATCTGCAAACTTTTTGTAAGATAATCGTGTTTTTGATAATGGGTATTTATAAAGTTGTGAACTTTGTTGTGTTTGGGAGACAATTTAGCAAACTATGCCAATGTGAACTTTGTTGTGTTTATGATTCCAGGGACTATCTTTATGTCGCTTTTAGCTGGAGCTCTGTTTGGTGTTGTCAAAGGTGTTATCTTGGTTGTTTTCAATGCTATCGCTGGTGCTACTTGTTGTTTCTTTCTTTCTAAGTTGATTGGTCGGCCGTTGATTACTTGGCTGTGGCCTGACAAACTAAGATTCTTTCAGGTTGAGGTAGATAGAGCTCCTTACTTTTGCTTAATGAATTAACTTATGTAAGGATTGTGATGATTGGTTGTGTGTGTTTTTTCAGATTGGTAAGCGAAGAGATAAGCTTATGAATTATATGTTGTTTCTGAGGATAACACCAACACTGCCCAATCTGTTTATTAATTTGGCTTCTCCAATAGTTGATGTACCTTTTCATGTCTTCTTTTTGGCGACATTGGTTGGTCTCATCCCTGCAGCTTATATTACCGTTACGGTAAGCCCTCTATAACACTACAATACTGTCATAATTAACTCAAGATTATATCTCAGAAGAGCTTAACGTTCTTGGTTCTTTGTATTGCAGGCTGGCCTTGCTATTGGAGATCTCAAATCGTTGAAGGATCTTTATGATTTCAAGACATTGCCGGTGCTTTTCCTCATTGGGTTTATCTCCATACTTCCAACAATACTGAAAAGAAGAAAGATATACGAATAACCAAGGAGTTGAATCTCCACTACCTTTGCTATCATTAGCTATCAGAGGACAAGAAAATACTTATTAACCGATTAGAGAGACACAACAGAACATAAATGTTTGAGCTCTGTCTACTTATAGCTTTATGTTTGGTCTTGTTGTGTTTCCATCAGAGAGTAATATTCGGTTTATGTTTGTTTTTTTTCCTAAGGACTCCAAAATGGAGTCCACCATTGGAATCACTTTGTAGGATTAGAGTACTTCACTATTCAAGAAAAAAAAAAAAGCATCATTATTGGCTAAGGATCCCAATTAGAGGTCCACCATTGTGGATGCCCTTACACCTTTAACCTTCCCCATAATAAACCAAAAGGGTAAATTAAAAATTGCATAGGAGTAAGCACCAGTACGCATCTTGTTCCTTGTTTAATTAGATGGAATATAATTTAAGTAGATGGATGGAATTAACATCGAGATCCTTTCTTACAATAGAGAGCACCAGCATTGCCTGTGACAGAAGCCACCAACGAGGATGGTCTAGCCGACAAACTTGAAGCCTTTGCATAGCTCGAAGAGGCTCTTCCACCTGAAGGCGTAAAAAACGCACCGTTTAGGAACAAATCACCTTCTGATCTCCAATTCCACTTCTTCCATTTACTTCGTGGTGCATCTTCGTATTTTGTCACCTATAGATACAAAAAATCAATACTCTCATATATATGTATGTAGAATTATATATATTTATAAAAAATAGCTCTTAATTACCTCTTTGAAGACATGGTCATTAGGAGCAAGAAACCTATTGCCTTGACTGTTAATAGTTGGAGCAGCACTCCCACCAATAGCATACATTTGCCAATGCGTATAATCGTTATTAACCACATGAAAATATCCATGTCTACATCTGCCATTCCCAAAATTAAAGGCTTTAGTACAAATAATACAAAACTTTAACAACTTTTATTTAGCAAATTAAACTTTACAAAAAGGTAACTTTATTTACCTTGGCATTCTCTGAACAAGCCCTTCACCAAAATGATTAAAGGCAATGGTGACTTGCATGTTCTTGTCCCTCGTGTAAGAATCACTATGTCCCAAAAGCATCACCTTGTTATGGTGCGTCAAGTAGTTATTAGAGATAGTAATAGCCGTAGATCCGTGAATGGCGTCGATCAAACCGTCCGCGCAGTTAGACAACGAGCAGTGGTCAACCCACACGTGGGACCCACCGAAAATCGAGACGGCATCACCATCAGACGCCGTCCTCCACCCGTAATGCGACGGAGAGTCTCTGACGTAAGCATTCCCTCTCTTCTTGCAGTCGTGGATGTTGAGGCCGTGGATGATGATGTTGGTCACGTACTGGACGGTGATGCACGCGCCACCGGCTATGTGGACGTTAGCTCCACGGCCGTCTATGGTCTTGAACGAGTTCATGAGAAGCTCTTCTTTGAGCTTTATGACCATGTCACGTGCGAAGATGATCCATAGCGGCTCGTCTTGGATCACTGCGTGTCTTAGGGTTCCGGGTTTAGGGTTAACCACGTCTTTGTCGCTCGGGTCGGTCACCACGTAGATTTTTCCGTCACGGCCGCCTATAGCGTGTTTGCCAAATCCAATGGCGCAATCAGCTAGTCGTTGTCGGTTCTTTTCCCATTTGGGGTCGCATCTCCAACAATCATCGATAGGGTTTCCGGTCCCACATGAGAGGACACCTAGATTCCTCCTAGACGCATTAATCTTCCTACAAAAATAAAAACATAACAAAGTTTAAAATGCTGGATGTTTATTAGTACAAACTTTTAATTAAATCCAAGATGTTGGAAAAGATTACGCACTGGTTCACTTCTTGAACTACGAGTTCGGGGTCGGAGACATGAGAGGAGTCGATGAAGGTCGGAGCTAGGACAAGGAGGAGACATGAGAAGAGGGAGAGAGACAAGTGGAGAAGTGTCATTCTCTTTAATGTCTCTCGAGAGGACTTTAACTATTTGAATGTTTTTGTTTGGTGGTGAGATAAAATGGTGAGCGAGGCTTTGGCTTCTTATATAGGAAAATCTCTTCCCCATAATTTTCAGAGCTTTTTCATTTTTTTATGAAGGGCCCACTCTTTTCAGATTCGTTAATTTATACTATATACTAAAAGGAGATTAATAAATACCTACGTATTGATTAGGAATATGATAGAGGGGGAAAAGAACAATAGGTTCATTTTACAATGGGCAACCACAATTTAACAAGTCATTAATTATGCATTAGTTATACCCTAAAATATCAGTTTTTAAATATAACAGCAAAATATAGAACATCAATTACTCCTTATGTTCCTAAAAGATCCATATTCTAGTTTTTTCACACTTTTTAATAAAACACAATAAATTTGCATAGTTTTTTGTATTTATCTTCTTTCCATAATTTTAAACCAATCAAAAATCAATTAGTGCAATTAAGTTTTTTGAAGTTTACAATTATTTAATAAAACATACATTGAAAATGTAAAAAATGGATCTTTTAGAAACAAATTATTTTTCTAGAATATGTATCTTTAAGGAACGGAGGGAGTATAAAATACGGAGGGGGTATAAATTACTTATCAAAGCACATTAGATATAAGAAAATGGACAATAAACATAATTTTTCATATTCCAAGTTCATTAATTTATCTCTGATATTTTAAGCACATATACACATGTCAAGTGGATTTTTTTTTGTAACACTTCAAGTGGATAATATACTATGCACATTTTAAGAATAATGTTTTGACAAACAAAGGTGGTGCAATTGTTAATAAGATGAGACTTTTTTTATTTGCACATTTTTGGCTAAAATTAAGGGATATGATGGAGAATCCATTTCCGAAAGAAAAATAAAAGGATTGTTGAAGTGGGTGTCGCGCAGTCAGAAGGTTGTTTTCGGTTCACGTCATTACTTGAGGAATGGATTTTTCTTTTCTTTTGTGCAACACTTTAGACAATGGATACATACGCTTGTTACGATAACATGAGTACGCACTTACGTACAGAGCCGTGCGAACGTTTATGGTTGCCCGAAGCTAATCATAATTTTTTTTCGATAAAAATAACAATACAAAAATGACTAGAGAAGAGAAACATAAAATAAACTAATAAACAAAATAGTAATTATGTAACAAGATTTATTTTTATTTTAAAAGAAATATTAATTAAGTTTTACCATTAAATTTATACTACTTTTAGATAAAGTAATTAAATTTCTCAATCTTTTTATGCCATGATAAAAAAAATTAATCAATTTTACATCTCTGAAAATATTAAAAGTGCATTCAACACTATATGTAACTACCAACCAATCTAATGACTCTAATTCTTTAATAATTACAATTGCCTATATTTTTGTTACTTAGGATACCATTTTTTATTATAGTTCCATGTTTTTAATTCTAATTATCACAGTTCTTTTGTTTTATAGTTATATTTTACCTTTATTAATAATAAATGATGCTCTTGATATTTAAAAATATTTTGTTGCCCGAAGCGAATGCTTCATTTTGTTCCATTGAGGCACGGCACTGCTTACGTATTAACGCCTAATTTTCTTAAACGTAACTCGTAGTTACTAACTACTCATGCTTTTTGCGACCAGAATGAATGTATATGCTTTAGTTAAAAAGAATACCCCTAAGAAACGAATCTTAATTTTTTTGCTGTGCTAAATTTACTTTTTATTATACAAAACTATTGACAAAAAAACAAATAAAACGTATACTAGTAAATTTCAATCCAATACTCTTGCGGCTAAATCTTCATCTGATATTTTATGTTGTTCGTAATAGAATAATATGAACATGATTTTTTTTACATAGCGGCACATTGTGGATGAACAAGAGAAAACAGAGTTAAGGGATGGATTTTCAGTCAGTTATTTTTACATAGCGTACGTAGTCTGTTTAGGTTGCATATATAATTTGTCACGACTAATTTGTAAACTTAATTTTGTTAGTAAAAAACAGTATATTGTTTAATGATCTTAATTTTTGTTAATTCTTGTATGCATGGCTAGCCGACTAAAGCTTATGAAACAAAAGTTTTAGAGACCAACAATTTACTTTTTTAACAATTATAAATTATTTTTAACTGTTATAAATGTTTTAAAGATACCAATTTCAGTTAAAACTAGTCCAGGAGCTTCTGTGTGGTTAGGATTCTCAGGCACCTTCAATGATGGTCTACCAGATCTTCAATTGCTGCTAGATGCTCTCGTTAATTAGCTCTAGTTGAGGTTCTTTAGGAACTCCTAGACCTAAGTATTAGTTCCTGAGTGTTTCTTAAACTTTTTTGCGGCACTTAGCAACTCCTTAGCTTTGATAAAGCAGACTGGGATCCAAAACAATTTCTTGTATCAGACATTTCATTAGACTATTAAATATTTACATTAATTCTTAGCAAAAAGAAAAACAATTTTAGTTAATTTCTTTTTGATTTTGCTTTCATCAGTGGACATTATTTTTGACGTGCTTTAGACACTCTGTTATATGATTGATTAGTTTAAAGACAATATATAGTTAAACTTCTGGACGTAATTAGTTATATATGAGGTTAAATGGCACATGAACAAAAAAAAGAATAGCATAACTCCATCAGATGTTAACTGTACGACGTAACGTCTTACGAGAAACCTTCTCCTTTTTGATAACAACTTTAAAACCCTGCAATGTACATATTTTTTTGGTAACAACTTTAAAACTGTGACAATCTCTAGTCTCTGTTATAGTTAATGAATTCCATAATCTCTGCAAGGTACATACTTTTTTTTGCTACGTGTATATTGTCGGTAATATTTATTTTAAAAGGTTATTTTTGTCATTTATGATTTTGGACTGAACTAGATGCATTTGCATCCAGATGCACCATCAAGACTCACCCTCATTTGAGTGAGAATTTGAGATGAGTTTTTAACAAATCAGTTGGGTGATCCATCTAGATGTAGCATTTTAATGTACAAAACGAACATTGATTTGCATCTTCACCCAGATNTATGATTTT